GGAAGGGTGGATTGTAGTGTATTTCTCTAATACGAACTCTAAGATTGGTCTTATATTTGTCTGTATTACAGAGATATTATAAAGGTATGTATTGTCAAGGTTATGATTTTTCAAGATGTAAAATATGGTTGTGAAAAACTGATTATCATTAAGGCTGAAGAGGAAAAATTGAAGCCTTTCAAATATGCTGCTAGAGAATATTGAGAATAGCTTGCATTGCAAGAATAACAATTAATTCAATATTAGATGAAGTAAACCCAGATTGCTCACTGAAACACTAACAATGAAACTAAAATATATTCTGAAAACAGAATATAAAAAATCTGTCATTGAAAAAGATCCTAATGTTTTAAAAAATTGAAAGCAATAAAAAAAGAGGCGGACAGAAGACAAGACAGCTAGATACTATTACAGAAAACACAAACTTACGTTTACAAAAATTCGAAGAAGCAGTTACTGACAGACAATCTTGTGAAAACAGTCTTCTCTTTTCGTTTCTTGTACAAACTCTCTCCTCCTTTTGTTAGCTTTAGGTATGGATTAGCATTATATCTATACCAACCAGCTTTTTTTACATTATCCATATTCATCAAGCTTTGAAATATTTATCATTCAATAAATGATAACACTTACATATAGTAGATATTGAAAATGAAAATATTCAGCTACCTATCATGAAAAGAAATGGGACATGGAGGATGAACAAATATTTTTTTTCCTTCATGTCCCTTATTCCAGACTGTAGTCACTGAGGTAGGAAATAGCTCATATTTACAGTTCCTTCAGGAATACAAGACAAAACAATATAAAACAAGCCTGTTTCTCCTTTCTTTTAAACCCCACTTAAGGAGATAAGACCTTCAATTTTCATCACCAAACCTAAGATGGTCTGGCCAGTGGAACTGTATCTGTATTGAAGGGAAGGACATTAAACAAGCATGCCTTCTCCTTTCCTTTCGAACAGATTGCAGGCATATGCTGAACTGAAGGAAAATAAGTAGCAGGCCAAGTACTAAGTACTGCATTTCCATGTTGTTCCCTGATGCTAAAAATCTTCCCTAGCAGAAATGGGCAGCATGCATGTCAATGCTTGTAGCTTGTACAATAGCACTTAGAGGGAAAAATTCCATACAGCCTACGAGTAGGTAGATATCCTTACCAGTCCAACCTGGCATCATTTTCCATTCTCATTGTCTGCTCAGTTCAGGTATCATAAATAGGTCAGTCACTGACAACATTATGATAGTTACCAAACAATAGATAAGGAACTCTATTAAGAGCCAGTCTGCTACTGTGGTTAAGGTGCTGGCCTAGAAACCAGGAGACTGGGAGTTCTAGGCTTCCCTTAAGTATGAAAGCCAACTGGGTGACTTAGAGCCATTCACTCTGTCTCGGCCCAACCTACCTCACAGGGTTGTTGTTGTGGGGAAAATAGGAGGCAGGACTATTAGGTACATTCACTGCCTTGAGTTATATACAAAAGAAGGCGGGATAAAAATATTGTTGCTGTTGTTGTTGTTCAAAACTGGTCAGCCTCTGGACAAGATACAACAGATGTAACAAAGCATAATATTCATAAAGAACTGTTACATTATTAAGGAAAAAATCCATACCTGCACCAGGAATGATTGCTAATTTTGTTTCGACTAGACCCATTTTTGCAGAAGTAGCTAAAAAAAAAAAAAATTGGTTTTTGAGAAATCTACAAATTGCTTTAATAAAATTACAGGAACTTAGTAAAATAAGCTGTTACTTCACTGTACCTGTTTCAAATAAAAGTGAAAACAATGAAAAGGGGAACTTACTATGGGCTGCAGGAAAACAAATAAGATAGAATGTCAATGGCTATGTTTCAATTTAGCACTAAGCCATAGTTTACTAAGTAGTTCACATTACATTAGCTAGAAATAAATCATACTGTGCCTTAGGTTGTATGTGAAAAACCTTTTCCTTCAATAGGCTTTGTAGCCCTTCATTTTTCAGAAAGGGCAACCACAGAGGTAGGAAATCCACCTGTATATTATCCATTTGCAAAGATCCACTCTGTTCTTAGTAAAAAGCCAATGTGTCATAGTTTTCTAATATTTTCACAAACAGAAAAGCAAAATTAATTGTACAGTAATTGTTTTGCATGCAATCTTACATATGACTATTCAGAATGCTCTTCCTTATGTGTCAGTTTGTCAGATAGTTCCCATCTGAACTAGGCAAAATGTGGTATACTGGACAGTCCAATAATTTTAAATGTTAATCAGAATGTATTGATATTGCTTTTATAGTTATTGTTTATATTTTTATTTTTTTTAATTACTGTAAACCACCTGAATTGTTTACACAAACAGAAAAGCAAGGTATAAATATATTAATATATAAAAAAACACTGCTTCTAAAAGGGCTTCAATACAGGAGGTTTTAATCCTACCTTCCAGTGAACTTCTTCATTTAGAGCAAGGCTAGAGAACAATATCTGTCATATAATTATCTTACCTAGACTTAGTGTTTGTTTTCATGAGTAAATACCAAGAATAGCCTAATCTGCCATCAACACAGACTAAGGGTTGATTAGCTTTTTCCAATGTTGATTTTATTAATGTAATTTTCTGTATCTGAATGAGTCAGAAGAGTGAGAGATGAGAACCCCATACCAGTTCTGGGCAACCATATCTAGCCCACCATCCAGCATTTCAAACTGGAGGATGTTTCCAGGGCAGGTGACATGTTAACAACGCTTCACTCACTCTTGGAAAGTGGAACAACTTGTCTCAAGATGAATGCCTTAGTAACTTATTCCTTTTTCTTTATCTTCTGGTATACTTATTAGCAACTAACCTTTAGTGACATAAATTGCAAAACTGTTGTATTTGAATTAAATATATCTATCCTGGATCCAAAAACTAAAAGATACAATCTATACCAGATTCATATAAACCCCAATTTAAGCACTATAACAATTATCATAGTTGAGATGTTCAAAATTTCATAAAAGAAATTAGTATTCAAAAATAAATTTCCATACGCCTGAATTAAACAAGGTTTATACAATTAGAAGAATGCTTCTAAATGATTAGGTCTAAATCTTACCTGCTACTCTTATATCACAGGCTAAAGCCAATTCTAGGCCACCACCTAATGCAATGCCATCTATTGCAGCTATAGTTGGTACTGGAAGATTAGCTAAAAGGCAAAGGCAAAATAATTTCAGTCAGCTGTCAATTTTTCTAACACAAAATTGATTATATAAATTGCTATTATCTGTGGATAATTAACTGTTTCATTTTTTGTTTTTTCCAATCTTAACTGCAAACTAAATTCTGACTACAGAGATATTTGGGATTCTAACAACAATAAAACAAACTAAGATGACAGGATTCCCCATAATAAGGAGCAGTTATAACAAGACAGCAATTCCTGATCTGTATATATGCAAGTCAGCAATTATTCTATTAAGACCTACTAAGTGGGAGTGACTACTGACAAGTAATGTGGATGTATAGAAAACAGAAGTAAAATTTTACCAACAACAGTATCTTAAGTAAACAATCACATTGGTAATGCCATGATCAAATAGAATATAATAGCAGCCTTTACTATTTAGTCATTATAATGGAGAAATATATCAAACTGATAACTTGCTTAGTATCCAGCAGTACTTAGTTATTTGCAAGATAACGAATTAACTGAAAGTTTTCACTGAAAAACAACCATACTTTCCATTTTAGATTTCAGTCTCCTAGTAAAAGTTTTTGTATATTAGATTGCTCTTCTCGCAAACAGCATTTAATTTTTCACAAGACCAACAGAGTCAGTTCTTTACTAGATATTTACACAAAAATGTAAGTTAAAAGCCTAAATAATAAGCTTATTTTTATGAAATTGAAACGTATTTTAAAAGCAATCAGCATTGGGATTATTCAATTTGTAGATTCAATTTTTTACCTTTATGCATATTATCTTAAAGAAAGATTAAAATTGATTCAAATAAACAAATTATAAGATTTATTTATTTATTTATTATTAAATTTGTATGCTGCCCATCTCCCCCGATCAGTGACTCATTTATGTCAAAAGTGGGGGACTATGGTTGTTATAGCAGTGCAACATTCCAAGCAGCAGTCTCTGCATTTACATTGAGGAAGACAATCTTAGTCTGTGCATGGTGGTTATGCATTAAAGATACCGATGCAGAAACTGAGGGCCCAGTTAAATGTGAAACCTACCATATGGAGCTCTTAACAGATAATTTTAGCATGAAATCATCTTTATATCAAGCAAACCCTGAAAAATCAAAATTCCCAAGTGAATATGAAAAAATATTGCAAATTTATCTCAGTAGACTACTGATCCTTCAATCTTTGAATGAAGATGAACCAGGCAATTCATTCCTTGAATAGGCTATAATGAATGATACTGACCTTGTATCATTGTTAAGAGTCCAAAAGGATTTCTTTGCAGATCTTATTACTATAAAATCACAAATATGTGATGTGGAGTAAACTTTCTGTTCCACCATAATGCATTATTATATTAACTGAATTCAAGCTGGGAAGTCAGTAACTTCTGGGAAGTCAGAAATGATACATTTCTAGTGGACTATCCTCTATATTTTTCACATATAGCATGAATGTCTTAAAGTTAGTATTACTTTAAATGCCTTAATTTCTTACATAGGTGTATGAATCCTAAAGTATGCTAAAATATTTACAGGTATTCTAAATAAAACTCTGAAGATATTGTTTCAAAGCTTTTAATGTTTCAATCTAGAATACGCATAGGATTTTAGGTGTGCTTTACTTCATTATCTGAAAGAAAAATATTTGAAATACTTCTATACTATATAAAATTAACTTTGTTCAATTTTAAACAGTTTTAAATGATTTTTTAATTAGAGGTCAAGTATGTCAAATCAGTTTCCAATCAATTTAAAAGAAAAATAGACATGTGTATCTGTGAAACTAACAAAAATGGAATTTATTTTATTACTTTAATTTATATGCCACTCCATTTCCAAGCAGCAAAGGTCCTCCTGGCTACAGCCTCCACCTTTTGTTCAAGTAGGAACTATGAGACAAGGAGGATCAGATGAAAATTATGTTATTAATAGAGATCAGCTAGGCAGATCTGGAAAACACACAAGCAGGGCATGAAAATAACAACCCTACTCACTGCTTGTCACCAGCGTTTACACCTATACCACAGTGAATATAGAAGTTTTATTTAGTTGCTTGTTTCCACACAACTCTAAACTGACTCAGTCCTAACAGGAAGTTATCACTGAAGGACAAGAAATTCTTAAAACAATTGCCATCACAATCTTAGTTAATAGTAGACAATATTCAGTAGGTCTACATATTAATGGATTTTTAATAACATTATCAAAAACTTTTTAATGAATTTTTGAAAACACTCCTTCTGAAAGGCTGATGAATTTAATTCCCCTCTCTACAAAAGAATATTTGGCAAAACGGCATTTTCAGTGATGGATCCATTAACACAGAGTGGAGAGAATTATTAGAATTATTTTAAAAAAATAGTATTTTGATATTGTTGAAAAAAGAAATGCCTTGGGCTCTACTCCTTCTGACCATCTCTCTCAATCCACTGCTTCATTCATCGATCAACAGAAACTAAAGATTTGCTTTAACATTAAGTTAGTTGAAGTTTCTCACAAGAGTTTTCTAAGAAACATTTTGAATTTTTTCTCTTTTGACTTTATCCAAACTGAGAGTTTACTCATCAAGGACATTCATTGAAATAAATTCATTTGATTGTCCATAAAAAGTAGGAAAAATTTAGAGAGGCTATTTACACTCAATTCAATAATACTATATCGATAACAGTAAGGGAAGACAGAAAGAAAAGTCAAAAATTTTTAGTGACAATTACATTATACATCTCTATGTCATGTTAATGATCATTAGTATTATTGAAGTCTTGATTTATTATAGAGTTATGAAAAATTTCAACAGGTTTTTTGATCATTGAGAATTTTACTTACTACTACTGCCCATGATGGATAAGCTATGAGTAATATTTCAATGAGACTTTTACTTACCCATTTCATTAATAGTGGTTCTTGCCTTTGAGACAAAGGAGCTTACTTCACTAGCATGCATTTTAGCTCTTTCTTTAAGGTCAGCACCTGCAAATGACATTTTCTAGTCATATTTAAATGTCATTGCAGTTTCTGTTCAAATCAACCCATCTTCCCCAACCTGAATACTCTTCAAATGCATGAATTTCAGAATTTTCATGAATGGGCACACTGACTAGAAATTCTGGGAGCTAGTCCATATAGTAAAATAAACCATAATAGCATAATTCATTCATACTTTCAGGAAAAGCAACATGGAGCAAATTTAAGTGTAAATCTATTTCTTGACAAGATATGGAAATTTAGTCATTTCTCTTTACAAACATTTGCATATTAAATAAAAATGATTATACAATTTACATAGCACTTAAAACATACCCCACTGCATGTTTTATATGTATATTCCATAGAAAACATGGAAATAAAGCAGTCCTCATTTCACTAAAGGGCAAAACAAGGGAAGAAGGAGACAGCTGTTAATAAAAGAAACCAAGAAAGTTTCCAGATGGGTGCAATTGTTTGTGTAAAAAGAGATTTGTTAATTCATGGTAACTCTGAAAACTATCTAAAATTCTTGGTGTTATGAACATGACCATATCTTTTGAATGCTATGACAGAATGAACTATTTTGTAAACAAAATAAGGAAAATCTAAATGGGGAACACAAGGCCTTCTTAAACAATCCAATAAATTATTTATAAAAGTCATATATTTTATCCAACACCAGAATAGATCGTTTCAAATTTCATGCTTAAGTCTCTTCTAAGCACTCCATTAGAGCTGTTAGAGACTTTGCTACATACAATCAATGTAACAAGAGAAGAAATTTACTAAATCTAAAGCCAGCTATTTAAACATAGATTAAAAACAACTTTTCTATGTAAAAGCTATGTAAAAAGCTTTACGGTGTGTAGTCCAAATGCATGTGTATCCATAATTAAATGTAACTTGAACATTTCATATAATCATCCCATTCACATAGCTGAGACATATATTAAAAACTCAAGATGACAAAAAACAGTGATGTAATAACCATCTTCATTTCTGCCAAGATAATATAAAAAGAATGTTTAACAAGTAAAAAAAATCTGTGTCAGAGCTAGATTAAAAAGTGACTTTCATACATTTTGGGAGATATCAGATTCATATCAGGTGTTTGGGGTAGAATATAAAGAATTAGCTATTCCTTACTGATACCATAATATATCTAATTCATATATTCCCCTAACACAAGAAATGAAAAACATTCAATTTATCTTGTCTATTTCAGTGATAGCTATATTAGTCTTCATTTAGCTAGCTGAAATTTAGTTTTTTTGGACTTGAAACTGAGGTGTGAAATCATGGAAGGATCATAATTTGAAGATTATTAGATAGAAGGGCATTTGAATGTTTGCACAGTTACATGATCTTATCTATATCAGCTCTATTAAGACATTAAATATGGTTTACGTGATTCAAAGAAATTATTCTCTGAAAAGGCCACTGCTCACACCTATGCTACTCACACACGTTTTCTTACAGAAGAACCAACTTTAGAATAATCCTGCAAATAGCTATGTAATGACTGCCTCTGATTAATAGCAACAACAAAAGCAAGTATACCTCTTTTATAGTCTTAATTTTGATATCTAGCAATCAAAGCTTAAGTGCCAGAAATTTAAAAAACTGACAAACTCCAAAATTATTCAGTGACATCAGAATAGAAAATAATCTTACGCCATTTTCTGGCTATTCACCTCTCAGCCTACACAACTCAACAACCCTTTGCTAAAATTATGGCAACAGAAATAAGGGTCTCTTCAAAACTATTGCCTTGGCCACAAGTTACATTTAAAATAAAAGTACATACTAGCTTTACAATTTGTTATTTAGCTAAAATGGATAAACATTAACCATGCTCAGCTGCATGAACTGCATGTGTTCCACATATGCAACCACTGTAGTATTGTCCTTTAGAACAGTGTTGAATTATCTGAGTATAAGGCTCAACTCTAAATTTTGAAACTTTAAAGAAAAAGACAGAAAATGCAATGCTATGGCAGCAGCATGAAATAATGAGCAGAGTAGATATTTAAACACGTACTTTTGTTTCATTTCCAATATGAAAAGGAACGCAGTAATATTCCACTGGCTGCTACAAACTAGCTCCTCTACTCCAAAAATCTTCATTATAAGCCTGTAATTGTAAAACCAGTACTAATGGGGGGGGGGGGGGTAGTAATCCTCCTCTCTTAACTCTAGCTTTTTATGGCATTTCTTTTATATTACAGGTTTGAGAGTGCTGTTTCTTGTTGATCATAAGGTACTCTGCAGCTGAACAGCCAGATAAAACACCTTTAAATAAAAAAATTTAAATTCTACAATATATTCTATATTTTTAACATTAGACATTGCAAAAACATACACAATTCACCATATTTTTCCTTTTGGCAGATCTTGTTTCTGTGCTTAATTTCAGGTACTATAATGGATTTTCATGGTCCCTCAGTGCTACTGATCTTTACTAAGACATATAAGGTTATACTTCCCCAGACAGACCCCATATGCAATTGGGGGGTCCTTCTGGACTCACGACTCCTGCTTGAAGAGCAAGAGGTAGTTGTGGCGAGGAGGGCCTTTGCACAGCTTAGAGTTCTATGCCAGTTATGCCTATTCCTGGATCAGGAGACTTTATGCTCAGTCACTCATGCTTTACTCAGCTCCCATATGGATTAATGTAATGTCCTTTACATGGGGCTGCCCTTGAAGAGTATTTGGAAGCTTCAGTTGCAGTTATGTGCACCCCTAGATCTGTGCACATTACACCCTGCTCCAAGAGTTGCATTGGTTACCAATATGCTTCCAGGTTCAATTCAAGGTGCTGGTGACAACCTATAAAGCCCTATATGGCATGGGGCCATGTTATCTGAGGGATCACCTCTCCCCAGTGACATCTACCTGTCCCATCAGGTCCAGCAGAAAGGCATGTTGTGAGTTCTCTTTACTAGGGAATGTCATGAGGAGGGCCTTTTCTGCTGCTGCACCTGCCCCATGGAACATCATTCCCCCTGAGGTCAGGCTGGCCCTGACTGTGATGTCCTTCCAGAAAGGCCTGAAGACCAGGCTTTGCCATCTGGCCTGAGGATCAGAGACTGGCACAGAGTCCATAAAATGGTTGCACTGTTCTTGAATTACTGTGCTCTCCTGATAACTGCACTGTATGGTTTTTAATTGTTTTTAATCGTTTTAATATTTTGTATTCTTTGTATGGTTGTTTTATTTTTTGGGGTTTTGGCACTGTTTATGTTTTTAATTGTAAGCCACCCAGAGTCATGAATGTGAGATAGGTGGCTATATAAACTGAATGAATGAATAAAAGAATGAATAAACAAACAAACAAATAAATAAATAGTGATTCATAAATAGACCAAACATATTTTACTGTACTAGTAAACAGATTAAAGTCAGAATGACTGGAAAATAAGTAAGTTCTGACAAAAGTATACTCAGCTCTATAACATTCTAAAAATCGTAGATATAGATACAGGTAGTTCTCGGGTTACAACAGCAACTGGGACCAGAAACTCTGTCGCTAAGCATTGTGGTCGTAAAGCACAACATCATGTGACCACGTGCTTAGCAATGGCAATTCCAGCAGTCCTGTTTGCTATCCTTAAACAAGGAATGTGCAGGTCATTAAGCAAGGACCTCACATGATCACGAGTTCCTGCCAGCTTCCCCACTGACTCTGCTTCCGGGAAGACAGCAGGAAACATCAGAAATCATGATCATGTGATTGTGGCTCACTGTGATGTTGTAATCATGACCCAGGCACCAAGCACGTGGATCGCAGTCACGTGACTATGGGGATGCTGCAATGGCCGAAACTCTGAGGACCTGTTGTAAGTCCCCCTCATTCAGCGCTACTGTAACTTTGAATAGTCGCTGAATGAATGGTCGTAACCCAAGGACTACCTGTATAAATATAGATATATAGATATTTAGACACACACACATACACACTCACAAAGTCAGGAAAGCTCTCCACTCTACATATCTCATTACGTATTATGGAACTTTCTTCTCAAAAGGGCACAGCAATATACTTAAATATAGAACTTATCTACATTTAGTTGCCAAAGAAAGGATTCTGAGTTACTTCTGCTGAGTTCAATAGATTATGGATTTCCAGATGGATAATAAAAATTAAATTTGCATACCAGCACAAAATACCCCAGGAACTTCACTTCGGAATATAACTGTCCGTACTTTTTTGTCTGTTTTCAAAGCGTCCATAACTTTTGATATCTACAGAGAAAAGGTGTGGACATTATCAACACTAATTTTCAGTTTTTCATGTTAATAAACAGTTAAAGGTTCATTTACTTACCATTTTTATAAGATTTTTACTAAGTGCATTTTTTGCATGTGCTCTGTTCATTCCAAGTACAACAATTCCTGTATGTAGGAGGAAAAAAATTATAAGAATCAGTTGTGCATACCAAAACATTTAGTGCTACATTTTCAAGACTCCTAATCAAATTAAATCTTTATTACAGTCAAACACCAGCATAAGAACGGTGGGTACAGTCAATTAAAAAGCATAGAAAATACATCAGAGTCTAAAAAATAATAATTATAAAAAGTTAAAAGATATAAAACAGAAAGTATATATCTAAAAGGAATCTACAAGAAGGGGTAGGAGCATTAGATGGATGTAGGGGAGCATAAAGGTTAGTATATGACAGACTATGTCTATCCAATTACAAAGCACTCTATATGACAAACTAGATGCTCATTAAGACTAGTTTATGGCACAGATCATCATCTGATGAATTTTAATCACTGCTGCGCAGAACCTGGCAACATTATATGTTGTAGCAGGGTTGGTATCTGAAAGCAGCAGGAAGATGTAGAATTCTCCTGGGTGTCCTGGGTATTTATGCAATAATGGTGAGATGAGGCTAGGACAAATGTAATACAGGCACTGGAGAAGCACATGCTCTGTTGTTTCTGTGTGTCCAGAATCGCAGGGGCATTGTCTCTCCGGGTTAGGAATCTTCCTATATCAGCCTTCAAGGACAGCTGAAGGGAGGGCATGACATCATGCCAAAGTAAAGGCCCTCTGGTGGTTAGGTACTTTGAGTTAAGTATGTGTACCTGTTGGATTCACTGGCAATAAAGCTTGGGAACCTGACTAGATCCTATTGGCATTCTGTGTCTGCTACATACTATTTAATGAGTGCTTTGGCCTGATTATATCCCATGCTGAGTAGAAAACCTGGAGAAAAGCCCAAGGAAGAGATTTTAGTTGCTACTACCTGTTTCTATGTGGGCTGAAAATCATGCCTCATAGTTAATGGGGCAAGGTCAAAGGGGAAAAAAGGACAATCTGAGCCAATAGTTGAGTATGGTCACCTGCACTCTAGCCTCCACTTTCATGAGGCCTGTCTCTAGTCGCAGGGTGGCATTAGACACACATTTTAGGACTTGAAGAGCCAATCTTAGAAATTGGATTGTACAAGTTCTAATGGTGCAAAATTGGAGAAAGGGCCCAGCTGGGCACCATAAAGAACTTGTGCTACTGGCTTGGCTTCAAATAATCTGAGTGCTGCAGGAACATAGTGGCCACCTCTTGTCTTGAGGAATTTAAGGATGGCAGATAAGCTCCTCGGTGCATTTTCAGCAATGTAGTCCCCATGGGCTTTCCTACTGTTGGCAGAATGAAGGATTATCCCCAGATATTGGAAGCAGGAGTCCTGCTCAATCTTGTGGCTATCTATGCTCCAGGAGTGGTATTTTGGCCTTTTGGCAAATGCCATGATTTTAGTTTTCTGACAGTTGAGTTCTAGCTTGTCTTTCTTGCAGTACTATGTCAGTGCTCTCAGTGCTCTTTTAAGGCCAACAGGTGTTCTTGAAAGTATTGCTGCATCATCTGCATAAAGTAGAACAGAGATGTGTCTTCCAGCAAGTTTTGGGGAGTGAAAGTTCATGTTAAGGAGATTGCCCACCATGGAGTTGATATAGAAACTGAATAGGAGTGGGGCCAATATGCAGCCTTGCTTGACTCCTTTCTCAGTTCCAGTGGCACTGGTGAGATGGCCCTGGGGGTTACATCTTATTTTGAGTGAGGTCCCTTCATGAAGTATACATATTAGATGAAGTAAACTTCCGCCAATCGAGGAGGCCTCCAGTTTTTCCCATAGTTTAGCTCAGGATAAAAAGCTTTTGAAGTCTATGAAAGCAGCATAGAGAGAAGTTGTGTTGCGGGAGGAATATTTTTCAGTTGGAGTACTAGGCACTGATCAATGGTGGATCAAGACTGTGAGTTCTAGTCCTGCCTTAGGCATGAAAGCTGACTGGGTGACTTTGGGCCAGTCACCCTCTCTCAGCCCAACTCACCTCACAGGGTTGTTGTTGTGGGGAAAATGGGGGAGAAACGAGTATTAGATATGTTCGCCACCTTGAGTTATTTATAAAAATAATAAAGGCAGGATAAAAGAAAAGACTCTTGTGTCTTTTGGCAAAAATGCAGGCTAGTTTGTATGAATAATTATTGCTAGGCATTTAAGCTGAAAACTTAGATGATATATGCCTATATCAGTAACTTCCTAAAATAGTGAACACATAGCTATTACAATAAATAGCATGAAAGTATACAAATAAAACTTAGTTGATAAATACATTCTGATACATTTATTTAAAAATTGCTATACTAGATAATTTGGAATATTATTAAAAACATATACAATATAATACTCATAATAAAGAAAGGCCAATAACAGTGTTGATACCATTAAAAAATAAACTGGCATGCCCTACACCTATGTACACATAAGTCCGTTATGTTTTTAAAATGGAGAAATGTTTTAATAACAAATGACTAATCAACAACGATATTGTTATTAAAGACATAAGACATAATAACTTACATTCTTACAGAGGAGAGTTGTAAGAAGAATAATGTATATAACTGAAGACATCTGATGAACGGAAGTCACATAGCTTTTTGAGCAGTGTGTTAAAGAAGTGGAGATGGATTTGCCCTTCCTCCCCAAAGTGTCCTCCCAAATGTCCCCTACACAGCAATTAGGCTTTAAAAGAGCATCCAGTGACAATAACTGATGCTATTTAGAATCCTGTGGGGACAAAGAAGAATGTCTATCTCCAAACAACTGCTTATCAGAGATGAGAACTCCCCCTTTCTGCTGCAGATGACAGCTTTCTCTTTTGCTACCAATATTCTTTCTATAAAGTTAAGGGTTAGGGTTTGAAAAGCAAAACTATTAAGTTCATACTACTCTGGAAGTTTTTCATTTAAAACTGACAGACAAATGTGAATTAAGTTCAGTTTTGGAAATATTTTGGAACTAATCTGTTTACTTCTTTAATTAAATCTCTTTTTATATTTTCAAATGTCCTGATCAATGAAAAGTAGCCTGTTTTCAGAACTTTTTCCAGTATACAGAGTTTATTATCACAAAAATGTATTTGAGAATGTACCCTCTCCTTCTGAACCTACAGAAATAGGGTGCCCTCTAAATCAGAATATTTAGTTTATTCAATTTATTAAATCTTAATTTATATCTACATCTTTTTGTTCCAGCTCTATCCATTTTTTCCTTTAGGTCATATCCACATTTGTAGCATAGCCATTGTTGAGCCACAACAGACTAAATGAGACCTTTACATTTTTTTTAAAGTTCCCAAATCATGATAAAGTGGGCTAGGGGAGCAATGCAGATTATGGTTTTGTTTTTTATGGTTTTTAACGCTTTTTTTATTGATTTTTGTTGTTATGTTTCTGGTTATTTTGTTCTATTGTTTCCTGTTTTTAACTTTGTATGCCACTCAGAGTGGTGTATGTGAGCCGAGGTGCTATATAAATTTACTAAATAAACAAACATAATAGGCATACGTATACCAGATAATGAATGTCTACATACATGGTTCAGAACAGAATATTATGATGTCACTAACCAGAAAAACACACAGTTATGTAACAGAATTTATAGAATTTGCATGAAATTGCATAAAAATGTCTTAAAGTAAGAAGGAAGGTAAAATAAAGTAGAAATAACATAAAATAGAGCAATAAGATACAAGTGCTAAAAGATTAAATACTTAAGACTATCACTATATTATAAAACTACTTTGCAAAGGTGTAAAACAAAAACAGTACAAAATGGCATAAAAAAGCCAAATTACAGACCATAGTTGTGACTACTTTCTTCAAGCAGTCACAAATACAACTGCATATTTACTAAACATGCCTATTAAATAAACTATACTGAAATACTTAAGTCAACATCCCTTAGAAGAAAGCCATACTTTATCCACTCAAAATTTATGCAGGCTTTATGCAGGCTTCATGACTGGCTGAAAACTTAACCTAGAACTATCTATTCACTATAAATAATACACTATACATTGGAATGGATGGATCATTGTGTTTCATGTCCCAATCTTGCACATGTCTATTAAAAAGGCAGGAGGACTGAGTTGGAACAACATAAATGTAAGATTAGAGATGAAAAATATTTTCTCACAAAACATGATTTCTGAATGCTTTTCCTCTCAAAGTACACTTCTTTAGTATTGTTTTAAATTTTGGATGTTTTATGTGTTTTAGATATATTTATAGTTTTAATACCAATATATATGATTGTGTATTTTAGATAAATAAAATATGAGGAGAAAAGTGTACTTACCAATATATATGATTGTGTATTTTAGATAAATAAAATATGAGGAGAAAAGTGTACTTTTTAAATTTTGGATGTTTTATGTGTTTTAGATATATTTATAGTTTTAATGTTTTTTGTAAGTCACTCAGAATCCCCTATTGTGGGGGAGATGGGCGGGGGAGAAATCCAATAAATAAATAAATAAATAAAAGTACACTTTTCTCCTCATATTTTATTTATCTAAAATACACAATCATATATATTGGTCTGTTGATTATATTGCAAAATTCAACAGCATGATATTCAAAGGATAACCTATACATCATTCCAAAAAAGGCATATTTGTATGAATGCATCCAATCAGCTCAATTTAAAATTTAAAGACGTTATTTGTGCTTTTAGCTTAAGGATTGGGCAGAAATTCTTGATACATTTATTAAGGTGACCAACTTAAGGTTTCAAAATGTTTTGAGAATTAACCTTTGCATATTTACCAATTAGTACTGTACTGAGATGATGAGAGTCTAACTTCAAATAAAACAGGACTTTCATAGTCTGCACATCGAGCCATCCTGATCTTACGACCTACGCTTCCATCCTCCGTATTCCCGTTTCCTAGACCAGCGTAAGGCTTTCCCGAACCAGCGACGCTGTCGGGCTGCATCACAGCGTCCGTCAGAGGCGCATGCGCCCTCTGGATGAGGTGGCTCGCGCGACCCGCCCCCACCAACGGAGAATTTAAAGGGTCAGTGCTCATCTTAATCATATCTTGGGAAATGGGCAGATACTGTAATCTGACACGGATGCGTCCCATCGAGAAGTCTCCGCTGCTGGCAAGCAGAAAGAGACATTCAAGCCTTACCTGCTAGACAGAACTGGGGGGGGGGGGGGGG